TTTAGCAAAACAACTCTTTTCTTTACGCTTATACTACAGTTTAAATTCTATGTTTTATATACAGTTTTCGTGAAGATAGGAATATAAATGCTACGCTCTTTAGAATTTGAAATGAGCTAAGAACAAACTCAAATGAAGTTCGTATTTAATATTTATTGAGTCAAGTCGACCTGATATCGTTATATGTTGACATTCGACTTCCATCCGCAAGACTAATAATTAAATAGCGTCTTTCGTACTAATAATATTTTATCTGTCCTTTTTGGAAGAAATCCTCAACTTCTGTTTTGAGGTGCTTAGATTTGAATTTTTTTTTAGTGAATGCAGGCTCCACGTCGTTGTGGCTTAGCAATGAGATGCATCACTAAAGGCCGTGAGTTTGAATCCTGCAAGTAACAAGTATTTGTATGGCATACAAATAATTGTTCCGGGTCTGAATGTTTCTCCTTGTGAAATATATGTATGTAAACCGCACCCACGATACGGGCGAAAATCTTAGTGTGGAAGTAACTTTTTTATACTAAAATAAATAAAATAAAAAAAAAATTACATACATTATAAAAACACAATGTCCGAGATTTGGTCACGGTGTCGAGTCTCAACGGAGACTAGCTACCTGCGCGCGACATGATTATAGTGCACGTGCGTTTGTCTATTCCTTCACTCTCATAGTCCGATGGGCGTTTATCCGACTCGACCGGGAAGAGATCAGGTGCAGTGCAACAGCTTTACGTATTTTCTGAGGCACAGGGTAAAACACCGCCAACTTCCTAACTGATTTTGACCCGACCTGGGATTCTAACCCAGGACCTGCCACCACCACTAGAATGTAACAACAGTAAGTGCAGTGGCGTAGCAATAGGAGGGACGACAGATTTCACGGGTTTGCCTTTTGGAAATGAAACTAAGCTCCCCTCTCAAAATATCTCAAAATGAGCTGGTACCGGATAATGTTGATTAAAATATTACGATTAGTATTGCATATTCTAAAAATAGAATATATCGTGATCAGTATGTTTCTTTTCTATTTATATTATCACGGGTTTTCCTGCCTTAATGTATTGCGCACTAAGCTACAGTCAATTTTTCGTAACTCGTCGACTACGAGCGGGCGAGAAGACTAATTCTTTGTTTTAAAAATATGACAAAAAAAAACTTGTAAACTTTACAATGATTTTGTTTAATGTGACTTAGAAAAATTTGTCATTATTTATACGCACATATACCATTAAATTTGAAATTTATTTCAGATAAGCCTGCAACTTTATTTCGCATTCACCTAAAAGCAGTACCTGTCGTAAATGAAAATACAACTGCATGAGATATTTACCGTGCCAGCTACACAGCTGTGACAGAGTTTTTGTTCAAAATTGCTGGTCTAATAGTATTCGTAGAAGTCTTTAGAAATAAGGTAGATAGAGATAATCTGAACACAAGGATTCAACTTGGCTGGGCAGCGTTCGGGAAATTACGACACATCTTCTCGTCAGGTATACCTCAAAACCTGAAAACTAAATTGTATAACCAATGCGTGTTGCCAGTGATGACCCACGGACTTCACTGCTGGCCGTATGAGGACGCTCAAAGTCGCTCAGCGAGCTATGGAGAGGGCTATGCTCGGGGTTTCTCTGCGTGATAAACTTATTATAATATGTCCACTATAAACCGATGTCATATCGAGCCGTCAAACACCTCAATCCGACCCGTTACCATGGGTGTTGTAAAGCACTCGAAACGTCTGGAATTAAAAAGTTAAATTAATCACGATAAAATCCGTAAAAATTAGTTTCATTAAATTAGCTGTTAAGAATAGTATATTTTTTGTTGCTCGTCGATAAAATGAACGTAGGTGAAGACATTTTTATTTTAATTTTCACCTATAAATGGCCAAATAAATTTGAATGAAATCAACACATAAGAGATAGATTATTTAGGTGCTTACTATGGGTCATATATTTATTATAAACTGACGTTGAAATGTTATTTATTAGTAATGAAAAATATATTTCTGTTACCAAGAGTCTGGAGCTGTAAGCAGAAACAAGTTTGAAATAAATTACAACAAAAAGTGTAATAATCTCATAAATTATAGTTTCATTCCATGTTTTAATAGACCACGATTTCACCTATTTCTACCGCCAAGAACCAGTATATTTTTTCCAAATGGCAGCAGCTTTTTATCAATAGCTGTTATAAATAGAAAATGCTGTTACTAATCCGCCTGACAAGCTTGAACTGTGGCAAATATCCCACTTCTGAGGCCCGTCCTTAGGGATGCATATGTTCAGCAATGAGATTTGATAGGCTGGTTTGAATAAGTAAATGAATTAAAACATTTTAATTATTGTTCCTGGACTGCAGAAGTCTCTTATGGTCAGATAGAGTAACTTCGTTTGTCAATTAATTTAAAAAGAAAGATCACTAAAGATAGCATCAAATTATATATCTATAACCAGACTTGAAAAGACACAGAGAGTAAGAAGTGAATGAAATCAGTTTAAGAGTCAGTTTAGGAGTTACTTTTAAGATTTAAAAGTCAAAGAATTATTCAGTTTAATAATGTATTTCTCTTTCTTTTGTAATTTTCCCTAACGCGACGTAGGTCAGCGCAAAATGACGTACATGTCGTTTCCGGTAACTTTTATTGCAAGTTTAACCCTTAACTGGTATACATATTTTTAACCACGTAAACGATATATGTACATGGGTCTAATTTGATTGAGTTGTATTATGTAGTGTATAAATTATATTTGGTAATTTTTATGATACATTTTTCTTATTTACGCTTATTTATCTTATTATTTATATAAATTAAGTTTGAAATTATTTGATTATAATGTAAACCACACAATAAAACACAAATGTTCAAGAAGACATACGTTTAATGTTGAAAAAAAACAAAATTTAATGTAATTTTTTTCCTCATTAAATATTTTAAACTCAAAATAATTCCGCTATAAAACTAATATTATAACTTCTGGAAAAGTTAAATCACTTAATTTTTCTTATTATGAACAAAAACAAAAAAAAAATAACAATCATCATTTCCGGTCAAATTTCCAAAAAAATAACTGCAATATTCTTACGTTAGAAAACAATACTTATGAAATAAATAAAAAATGTGAAGTTACATACAATTTTGACATGTTGCAAGCATAATACAGTAGACTTTACATACGTGTGTACTACATTTTGACCAAAAAAATGTTAGTTTTATTCTTCCTTTTTCGAAGGATAAACAAATCTGATAACGTAGTTCAAGGACAGGTCTGTTATTTTCTTGTTGGATAATTCTAGGATCTTTTATATATATTTACAGATATGTAACTAAATGTTTATACTAATTACACTTTTGTATATGTGTATGTAGAAGTAATATTTGTATTATTTATTTCTGTGCAAAACTTTTAAATGCAGCCCGATATTAACATTCTTTTATGAAATTTAATTTAATGAAATATGAAATATCACACTTGTTTATTTATTTATTTTTCTAAACCGTTACACTTATGTCAGATTTACACTCAACAATCAAGTAAGAAATGATTATACTAAATGATGCAAAGTATGAATTCATTTTCATATTATAATAGAGTTGATTTATGTTCATTACTATTTATTTATGTTTGTGTAGGGAGTCCTACTAGATGGAGTAACGACCTGGTAAAACATATAGGAAGTCGACGGACGCATGCGGCTCAGAATCGTGCCTTGTGGCATTCCCTGGGGGAGGTCCACGTTCAGCAGTGGACTTGTGAAGGGCTGTAATGATGATCATCATAATTAAGCAAATCAAAATGATTTACTCGTTTTGCACCTCATTTACAATTTTAAGAGATTTAGCTTTAAAGGCTGGTTTACTAAAAACAAAGAGATCTATCACTAAGATCTCATTGTATGTCCTGAGCAATCGGTTTATAGGCGCATTACGTGCATAATTGGTGCCAGCAAACGGCACATGAAATAAAGGGTGCGGCCGACGGCGGACACGATGTGACGGTACTTTGTATGTTATGCTCGCCACCAACTCTGGGCAGTCTACCTGTCCACGGACAATACCATACAAAAACATACGTCCATTAATTTACGTCTGTTTTCGAGTGTCAATAAATTATAAGATTGACAATTATTTTCATAGGTTACAAGTGGTGATTTGAAAAAACGATAATTTAGATAATTGATGAATTTTTCCTGTATGCATTCTATACGATCTTTATAAGTAGCGTATTGGGGAGACCAACTTGGACTGGCATATTCTAATATACTGCGAACATAAGCATTATACATAATTTTAAGGGTATTAATATCTTTAAAAGGCTTGCAAGTTCTCATCACAAATCCAAGATTTTTAAAAGCCTTGTTAACAATTTCGTCAACATGCTCTGATAAAAGCATTTTATTGTCAAAATGAACTCCTAAATCTCTAACAGTAGATGTTCTTTGTATTGGAATACCGTTAAAATTGTAGGAGAATGAAATAGGGTTTTTTTTACGTGTGAAGCTAATACATTCGCATTTATCAATATTAATTGTTATGTTGTTAGCAGTATAATAAGCTGATAAAGCGGTTAAATCAGCTTGCATTTGATGACAGTCCTGTTCAGTACGGATATTGTAAAAAAATTTTTTGTCATCGGCGTACATTAAATGTTGTGAAAACTTAAAACAAGTAGTAATATCGTGAATATAAGCATTATACAGTAAAGGCCCCAGATGTGATCCTTGAGGAATGCCTATTGGTATTTTGATAAAGTCCGATCTATATCCACCTATTACAACAGCCTGGGATCTATTACTCAAATAGGATTTTATCCACCTGAGTAAATCCCCATGTAAGCCTAACAATTGTAGTTTATTCTACATAATATGTTACCAATTAGTTCGTCAGTAAACAGGATTGCTCATGCTTGCAGTGGAGATGTCGGCTTGTTTCGACGTGTTTTCCCTCCCAAACCAGGTAAATGGGTAACAATGTTTTCACGTCGAGTCCTCGAAGAATATTAGGGCATCTTCGAGCATTTAAACTGATTACGTCTGTACTGGTAACCTCTGGATAAACCACGTGATTGTGATAGTGGTGGTGGTGGTGGTGGTGGTAGTGGTTCACCATGAATGAGCTCGTCATTTTGAGGAACAATCTCAGAGAAACTTCTCGCAGTGTCGAAACGTAATGCTTCCTCTGAGCTATCCTCCAATTCGCTTATTTCAGACACTGAGTGGTGATCAATATGCTCGGAGCAGTTGTCGCCATAGTCCGAGTCACTATCACACTCATCAAGCCATCGCAATATTCGTTCTTCTTCATTTTCTGCCATTTTCAAACTTCGCCTCAGAAACAAAAAGTTACATTTAAGGTATACGTGAGTCGAATCTGACCCGAGGGCGTACGAAATTCCGAAAATTTGGGCTGAAACAAGACACGCGTGCATTTAATTGAAGTGCTGTGCGACCAAGGAATACAAGGCGCAGTGTGGGTGAATATCGAACTAATGTTGACTTATGATCGATCAAAAGTTAGTCCGGGTCTGTTTTGACCCATGTATACCAGTTAAGGGTTAATTTTTATTGCGTACTTAACATAAATACAGTCGCAGTTGAGGGATTTTGTATAATATTAGGACAGCATTAGCCTAAATGAGTTGAAAAGCAGGTTGATGTGTATTGAATTTGTTAATTAGAACCTTTCCCAAATCAAGGAAATTTTTTATTCGACACTGCATCATTATCTGTATATTGACTAATTTGTTGGTCTAGTGGTCGTTAGTATGACTGCTGATCGTAAAGTGGTTTATATAGTGCTGAAATTGAAAATGTGCGCTGTATTTATTGCGCATTAGGTTGAATATATTGTAGCTTAGCTAAATTATGTACGACAAAACAGACAACTTATTTGTGGGAGAACAGAAAATGTACAAAATAATGAAGGCAAATTGTATTGTTAAATTACTTTAACTTTAACTTACGTTGTAAAGCATGAAAGTTCCGCCTTATTAACAACAAAAGATCTCATTGACGACAACGAACAAGTAATAATGGATCCTTACACCACTTATTTATCTTCATTAGCATTTAGCAAAAACCATTTTTTGCATTTTTGAAAAGCTATGCTAAAAGTTTGAAATAATATTTATTGTACATAGAGTAAAAACCAGTTGCATGGAACAGTGCATTTTATCTTAAAGTTCAGCGCACAATTTTTACCAAATCCATTGAAAATATTTAAATAATGGAACTTGTCGTACACAAAAAACTCTGTTTTTCTATGTAACTGAAAAAATGACCGCCTGTGTGTTATTAAAGAATTGCTATTTATGTATGTTATTGAATATTGAGTTTGGTTGAGCGACGGGCCTAAGGTTACCGAATTCCAATTCCCCGGTCAAGCTTTAAGCCTATTACGCAAGATGTTACACCAAATGGACTGTATAAGTGGATGGCTTCTTCCGTCTCCACAAATGGTGACTATAGCATGCGGTTTTCCTGGCAATGCACTCGCTCTTCCCTCTAAACGAACTATTGCTTGCCAAAGTCTATGAAGGAACCCTGCTTGATCACGCTAGGAGAAAATGAAATTGGAGCGGATTAACTAATAAACACAATTATGTCAAGCAGGCTTATAAATGGAAGTTACTCACCGGGGTGTTGCTTTGATGCGGCTTGGGCGCTTTGTTGCTGCGGTGCGACTTCTGGCGGATTCTCTGGGGCCCCAGAGATGCGTTCCTGTTCGGTGATGCGATGGAAGAGAGCTGTGTGCGACTATTCCTCACACGAGGTGAGGCGGTTACTCCCGGAGCGCGAATGCTCCGGGCTAATGCGGTTGAACTATCGGTGCGCGTGGGCAAGGCCCTCTATGACTCGACTGTCTTAGGCCGTGTGGTTCCAACTGGAGCGCGAAGGGAAGAGAGCGCGCAAGTGCCGTGTGCTAGCTTATATTACTTCGGCCCTCTTATCAATGCGTCTCGGAGGGGCGCGCTGCTTATTGGTTGCAAATCAAGCGATATTCTAGAATCATCTTCTTTCCCCTCTCACCCCACCACCCCGGTGTGTACGGAGGGACAACATGTGAAAGAAAGGTCGAAGGAAGGACAAATCTTGGCAAGCCTACCTTCGAATAAAATAAATAACGAATGGTTTTCCGCGCAACCAGAGTTCAACCGATTTATATTTCTTTGTATTTTTTTATTAATTAACGTAATATATTATAAATAACATTGAAAAATATACAATATTTAAAAAATCTGTAATAGAAAAATGACTAAAAGTAATAATTTAAATTATCATGCAGTCCTACTCCCACGGTATCGTGCCAAGAGCGGTGGCTGCGTTTCCTCGCTGAATGCTATACTTAGCGTTTGAGAGAGAAACGAAGCAGCTCTCTTATCACCAGCAGCGAAGAACAGTCGCGGATAGAGTCTGTTGATTCATATTTAGTTTATTGTTGAAAATCGTTTTGTATCGTGTAGGAGTTTTACATACATTATTATAAAAACAAACAGCCAGGCAGCCAGGCCCGAAACAATTATTAGTGGCCTGTGTTCCGGTTTGAAGGGTAAGGAGAACCTAGACATAATCACAGACTGTGAGGCATTCCATGTTAATCCTCAGAGGTGACAACGCATCAGCAGTCTTGTTTGCTCGCAGTTGGCTTAGAGTGCAGCAGCTACTTACCGTCAGGTGGAATGCAAGGTTGCTTTTCACTTCAGATTTATAAAAAAAATTAAACATCAATTTCGTATGCTAACTAAAGATTCGATCGTATTTGTAAAAATGCTTTGAGGAAAAGCCGACGCAATTTCGAAAGTTTTCCATTTTCGACTATGAATCACTAAAAGAAAGTTAATTTCTCTACGTAGTAAAGTCATGCTGCTGAGGTTTTTTACGGAAGAACGAACGATTCGATTTATCCAGAGAAGGCCCATGCCGTTACTGTTACAGCCTATTAAAGTCTACTGCTGAACATAGGCCCATAGGGAAGGTCCATGCCTGTGCGAAATACTAGCGTAAAATAACACTGCTATAGCCCACTCATTTTGAAAGAACATGTCCTCCGCTACGCCGCAATGCATATTGGCAGATTTCACAAACTTTTTACGGGAAACGAGGCATTCTTAGTCCTCAGGCCACAACACATCGGCATTTTGATTCTTAATCGAGGATAGTAGTAAATGTCTTTGGGATACAGCATCCAGTTACCAACAGGTAGACTATGTGTTCGTTTGTTACCCTTATTCTATCAAAAAAAATATTTTGTTTCTCATATATATATATATATATATATATATATATATATATATATATATATATATATATATATATATATATATATATATAACCTTATCACATTTCCCTTTCACAATTGAGTACGAGGTAAATCAACACTTAAGACAGCTATTAGCAATGTTATTGGTGCCGGAGGGCCTCTAAGTTCTCTTTCTTTAAGTGAATGACGAGAACCTGAAACCCTTTTTGATAGCAACGAGGTATTCCATCTTAGTTCGCATAGCTGACAACGCATCTGTATTCTGATTCTTAATCGAGAATAGATGTAGGTGTCTATGTGGAAAACATAAGAAAGGTTTTTGATAAAAAACAAGCGAAAAAAAATAATATAAATCTTACATATGCCGTTAATAGAGCTGGCTCGCTAATAAGCATAACATTCACAAATACTACAATTTTGAGTTAGAAAGTGATTGCACGGAAGAGCAATAACAATTTATTTTTTATTTTACTTCCAAGGCAAATAGCGTTTTATGATAAAGATGTAAAAATATCATTAGTATTACAACCGTTTCATAAGAAGCTCTGATTACTTAAAAGTTTTGTATGGAGAGAAAATAAGTAAATAGGGATTAAATCCTATAAAATAAATATAAAACGCTTAAGTTTTGGTTACAATATAAGCAAAAGTTTCAAAGTTAAACTTCAAAGCGAAATAATTCAAATAGTTTCGTCCGGTGCATACATTAATATTATCATAATACTTAACGGCATACATAACTTGAATATCTACATTCCTCTCTCCGTAGATTTAACAGCTCAACATTTTCCCACCACTGGCCGCCAAAACCGTATGAATAGCGTTTATTTGTCTTCGCCTCATCCCTGCTATGAAATTTGCTACATCACAGCGTTAATAACACTTAGTGTGTTTTGTCTTTGTATAGAGGCATTATTATTTTGGGACTGGATATAAATTAAATGTTATGTTTGTGTACGATAAGACGGGGGATAAGTCGCTCGCGTCCGTAGGCTTTGACCACCTATTCCTAGGCCCACCCTACACGTGTCCCCCGGGTGGTGCTAAATGAGTGACAAGCCGATAGCACAGACTCGGCTCCACGCCGTGGTAGCGGCGTAAATATACTACCCCATATTTCGCACCATGAGGAACCAAAGAAAAGAAATGCCCTTGAATGGGGCAGGGGTGCGAAGAATCTCCGGGAGGAAAACCGGCGACGAGGTTCGACACCCGTCACGTTCTGTCTTCCAGAGAGGCGAAAAGTGGATTGCAGAGGCCCGTCTGGCTACTTTGAATGTATGTGGGGCAATGAACGATAAAATGGATGAAGTATGCGATATGATGTATGATAGAGGAATAGATGTATTATGTGTAAATGAGACGAAAAGGAAGGGGAAGGATGTCACTGCACATGGCATGTATAGCGCATTCTGGTCTGGTGTAGACGAGATCGAGCGGGCACGCCAGGGAGTAGGTATCATCCTTTCAGAAAGAATGGGCCAATGTGTGAAAGAGTATGAATGTGTAAGCCCAAGACTGCTATGGATACGAATGAAAGTGGGCTTAAAGAAGTTGTTTGTGTTAGGGGTCTACGCCCCAGACATGTCTAAGCCCACTTATATCCGAGGGCAGTTTTGGAAAATGGTAAGGATGGTGTTAATTAAGTGTAAGGGAAATGAAAAAATTATTATGCTAGGAGATTTTAATGGAAGGGTTGGGGTGAGGAGGCTTGGTTATGAAAGGATGTTGGGAACGTTTGGTGATGAAAGTATAAATGAGAATGGTGAAAGTCTCCTCACCATATGTATGGAAAAGAATCTTTTTGTGACGAACACCTGCTTTCGCCACAAGAGGATTCAAAGAATGAAAGGAAAAATAATACGTTATGGTGGGATGATGAGATACGTATGAAAGTTAAAGCAAAGAAGAGAGCATGGCTAGATTTACTAGCAACAAAGTCTGGTAATTCTAGCGGTACGAATGATGATATTGAAAGAAAAAAGACAGTCTTTAGACATCTAAATAAGAGAGTAAAAGAAGTAGTTGAAAGAAAAAAAGAAAGAAAGAACGGAT